CCAGGCTGAGTTATGGAGGAAGAGGTGGCTCTCCTTGACTTCCCAAAGAGTAATTCAAACCTCTGACAGAAGTCTCTAGAAAATAAGGCCTGGCCTACAGATGCCACAGCAGCCACACACCAGGGCTGGCTCTGGCCCCAAAGAGAGAGGGATTCACTCCCTTCTGAAGCAGAGGGAACAGCGCTCTTTTGGACCCCACCGTGCATTCCACATCCCTGCTGAGCAGGTGGTTAGTTTTGGAAGAGACAGGAAGATAGAAGAATTTTACTATTTGTTTTTGTACACTTTTTTCTATAGTTTTATTGAGAAACAAACAGCAATGAGACAGTTTCAAATCAAATTGGTAGGACAGTTTCAATAATTAACACACTGCATACATTCTTCCTAGTGGTTAATTGCAGTTTTTCTACACTTTTTAAAAATTAGTTTTTCTTTTCCTGTCTTATTAAGGTCTTCTTTAAACTTTAGTTTAATTTGGTCTTTTTTTGTTTTCTGGAATTATTTTTTCTACTTTTATTCTCTCTCTCTCTCTCTCTCTCTCTCTCTCTCTCTCTCTCTCTCCCTCCCTCCCTCCCTCCCTTTTCTTTCTTTAATAACTTAGATTTATTAGCTTTATATTTTCATCTACTTGTCTTCTAACACTCTTTTGCCAACTATCTTACTCGATTTTATTATACTTTCCTGCGAGTAAGCATAAGCATCATCTTTTCTCTGCATGGTTCACTTCAATTCTCCTCTGCTTCCTCCTCTATTCTTTCCCTCTTCTCCCTCCAGTTTCCAAAATTTTGGTGATCACCTTCTGCCCACAAACTTCACTCCTACTATGCAAAACCTCACTCATCTATCTTTTATTATGCTATAATCAGTTTTTCTCTACTGTATGACAACACTGTGATTGTTTGGGATCATTATCATCACCATAATCCAACCCAAAAGGACTGGGTCCTGCATCAAATAGGTAAGAGCTTCTTATTCTCAACACATTGAGAAGGTGGATTCTTTGGATAGACACAAAGCTCAAGAATCACATACATCTAGAGGCTATCCCAGTGGAACAGCCTTAATACTAGTGATAAAGTTATTTACTATATGGAACCTATAAGCACCAACACATAAAACAAAACAATACAAAAAATATAAAACAGAAAATGACAAGACACAGAAACAAAATGCAACCCCAAACTTCTAGCCCTCCCAGAACAATCACAAAGCACAATAAAATAGAGGAATTAAGAAGCCAGCCACTGGAACTTTCTGAAATAGTAGTAACAGAAGTGAAAAAAAACAAATGGAACAGGCTATAGAAAAAATAATCTCTATGGTACAAAAGGAAATGATGATCATGGGCTGGCCAGATAGCTCACCAGACTAAAGCACCTGCTTAATCAGAGCACAGCGGCTGGGGTTCAATCCCAGGCATACCATGCTAGCCCTGCCCCTGGGGGGGGGCAACTGAGATGGGCGTGGTGGCCTGTGCCTGTAATCCCAGTGTTTGAGACGCTAAAAAGGATCACTATGAGTCTATCTGTATAGTAAGACCCTGTAGACCCTGTACTAAATACAAAGAAAGAAAGAAAGAAAGAAAGAAAGAAAGAACTATCAAAATGAATGATGTTAAAGAAGACACAAATTTTTAAAAAGAGGAGCTCAAGAAAACAATAGAAAACATGAAAGCCCAAAATAAGAAAGAAATAGAATATTCAAAACAGATCACATCAAAAGTTCAGGAGACTAAAAACACAGCAGATAGAATAAAGGTAAGGATAGAATATCAGATCTAGGAAACAGGATTGTGTCCAGTGACCATGAAAACAAAGATATCTTGAAAATAGCAACTGGGCTGGTGAGATAGCTCAGCAGCCTAAAGCACCAGCTTAGGCAAGTGCAGGGACTGTGATTCTGTTATGGGTTCTCAACACAGAAACCAGACCAAAATCTAATTATTAAATTTTACAAGTCTTTAATACCGGGCCCAGGACCACTTGACCATACTCACACAGCAGAGGACAAACGGAGAGAGAGTCTTAAAAGTACAGAGGTTTTATAGGTAAAAACTTTTTTTTTTTTTTCATCCAATAAGTTATAACTTTATTAGTGATAGAAACAGTACAAATTTCAAACCAAGCTGCAGTGACCTTTTTGGAACACCAGAAAAAGCCCTCCTTTCCATTGATTACATTGTTAGTTCCATAATAGTATTTACAATATCATTACTGTTGTTCTTCAGTGCTTGGACTGCCTTTGCCCTCGACACATTTGCTTGTGACATAACCAGCTCTATGTCCTTAACTTCCACGCCTGTTTCATCAACCTCTTCCTCTTCACTCTCCTCTTGTACAGTTGGAGTCTGTATTTTCTTGAATGTTTGAGACAGCTTCACCTTGAACTTTGAATTTCTCAGCAGCTGCTAACTGTGCTTGCTGAGATAAATCCTCAATCTTGGCTTCCCCAAAAACTATGTAGGTATCTGAAGCTGGGCTCTTATAGACATCTGGTTTTGTAATGACAAAGAGGATATTCCTAGACTTCCGAATAGTGACTCTAGTAACTCCTGTAACCTGCTGAAGACCCAGTTTGGACATAGCCTTCCGTGCCTTCTTCTCACTCCGACTCTGTTTTGCTTTACTGACTGGTTCTTCATCAATTTCAGCTGCTGCTGCCAGCTGGGCTTGTTGTGTGGTTGCTTGTGTGGAATCTTACTCTTCGAGCTCTGGTACTGATTCATCATTGTCAGATTCTGTTCCAGACCCTAAGAAGACAAAGAGGTGTCTCAGCCTGGGGCTGTGGCAACTCCTACTCGGTAGCAGGGACGGTTTCTGTGGCTTCACTGGGCATTTTGTGCGGAGAACGCGGAACCAAGATGGCGGCAGAAAGGGGCTAAAAACTGTATCTTGTTTGGCAAACAAATTTGTCATTTAACATAGAACAGTACCTTGAGGAACAGCATGACCATTACTCAGCATATATATATTTTTTTCTGGGAGCTTGGGTGCAGCCTCTCGGCTTTGTTGTCCCCTTTAGTTTTCCCTTTGGTGGCATTTTAAACATAAAAGAATGCTAACCTGGCATTGTCTAATTCTTGTTTAAGGTACACCTGTGTACAGTAGTCTTGATTACCATAGCAACACTTTTTAGTTGGTTTTGTATACTTAGAAACATTTTGACCTTTACTTTGATTTATTTTATAAGCCCATTCTGCTAACTCTTTCTATTGGTGATTTATCGACGGTACACCAAGCCTCCTTGCGGTCGTACAAGGAAGCAGTCACAGAAAGTTGAGCAAAGTAGTTTTTTACATTTAGTTTTACATTAAATCATTACATTAGTTTCACATTAACCATTTACATTTCCCACTGTTTTTTATATGATTTAAATCCTTTATTTAATCTGTCAAAGGTTCATAATTTGATCGTAATACCATCGATTTTATAGACTGTACTCAGTCTTGTATATACAAACAGTTAATAATGTAGGGTCTTACAGCTAGGTCTAATACTAACAATATTAATGGGCAAGCTAGAGCAGAAAGGAGAGTAGTTAACCAAGGAGACATAGTGAATAAATTTTTATACCAACTCTGATCTTGTCGGTGTTGTTTTTTCTATCTTGTAATCCTTTTTTTAACTTGCTAAGACTATCTCTAATTACTCTAGAATGATTTGTGTAAAAACAGCAAGCTTTTCCTAATGCCAAACAAAGACCCCCCCCCTTTTAAAAACAGGAAGTTAAGTCCTCTTCTATTTTGGAGGACCATTTCAGCCAATGAATTTAGAGAACTTTTTAATTTATTAACACTCTGTTTTAATGTGGCCAGATATCTGTTAACTTTTTCCCTCAATTGGTGATAATTTATATCTCTAGTGATTAAAGCTGTGGCTCCTCTTAAAGCTGTGGAACCGGCTACCCCAAGTCCCACAAAAATAGGAACCAGGACTGGAACCCGGCGGGGGCAACTGAGGCTATTTATGCCAAGATGTTGTCAACCTCCTTTTTCCGAGTAATAATATACTTGTGGGAAAATATGACTAAAACACATGACTCAGGTGGATCTAGAGTCATAGAGTTTAGAAACAAGCAGGGTGTTATGCCACTTGTACAAGCAAACAATGTTTCCTCAGGAGCCACTAGGTGTTGGTTTAAAGGATAAGTTGCATTTGCAATGGTTATAGTGGTATTACACACAGAATTATATTTAGATGAGCTTATAAGGTAAGAGGCAGACACCAAGCATAATCCCTGTCCTTATAGGTCACCTAAGGTAAGGGATGGTTTGTGCCCCCACCAACAAGAGGGCTTGGCCTCAAGGGAAGTTGTGTTAACAAATGAAGATGAATTAAAAGCAGCTAACCCCACATAATATGGGGGCTCAGAATTTAGGCAGAGCCAATGATCAAATGTCATGTTTGGGGAGGTTTTGTTAAGCAACTGGAACATCAAGTCTAGGGATCGGAAAATAGGGTTCCCAGTTAGGCCCAAAGGGGGTCTGATGGGCGGTTATTGAGTGAGGAGGTTGTGCTGGGGCCAGGAAGCTTAGTAGTCTTAAGGGGAGAAGCTTGTAGAGGCAAAGCAAGGCTATTTAATGCCCCAGTAGGATGGAAGGATGCATTTCCAGGGTCTGGACTCTTTTGTATAGTGAAGGCGACTCTAGGATCGTGTCCTGTGACATAGGTTCTAAGGCCCCAATCATTTCCTCTAAGCCACGATCTATCAGTGCCTTGTTTGACCTTTATTTTTAGCTGGTTGGTTGTGGGAATCCTAGTTATACTCAGTAAGGGGTCTCTGTCTACCCAAGGGGCAATAGTCTCACATTCCCAGTTCTAACAAAAGACCCCTTTATCTTTTGTGGTGTCTCCACAAACATAGTAGCTATGTATGCTAGGGCATAGATAGAATGGTGGTTGTCCTTGACAGGCCCATTTTATCTTATTTTGTTTATATTTAAAGAGGCTATACAGCGAGACAAGGAACTTGGGGGACTGAGTAATAGTATTTTTTTTTCATGCTTAACGGCAAATGTATTCAGTTCCTTTCCATGCTGCACATAAGGTGGCTATGTGCTTCTTTGAGGATCCTAACATCCTTCATGGTGAATGATCTTGCAGTGTGTTCTGATAAGTATCTTAAAGAAGGGAAAAGGAACATATTTGCTGACCTAGGGTTGGCCAAGCAGGGAGTGTACCATGAACATAGCTAATGTCTACTGTCTCTTCCGTCACTTTCGAGCTCATGATAGGGCCAGTATTAACTGGTAGCAACAGATGCCTAGAGAAGCCATTCAGATCTGTCACAACAGGGAGGAAGGCACAGGAGAAGAGCAGGGAGACATTTGATGCCCTATTATGGAGTGTAGGCTGTCCGCTGGAGGGAAAAAAACAGAAAATAGAAATACAGTTGTTCTCCTTAGGATGCCATGCCGAGCAGAAAGCCTCCAAAAAATCCTCCAGTCACAACAACATTCTTCTTCACAAATGACACAACCTCCTCGGCTTTGCTCTTGACCTCGGTTGTTACCTGGTTGCTCTTCCGAATCTTCAGCTGCTCTTTGGCTTTTTTCATGTCTGTCTCTACTCGCTGCCAGTCGACTTTAATATATCCAGTGTGGTTTTCAAGCTGAAGGAGAAAAAATCCACCTCCAACAGCTGTAGCAGCCAACTTTCCAACCTTCTGGAATATGAAACCAGTACACCATCCTGTGACACCTCCAATTAACAGCTGGGTTGCCACACTATACTTTTCAGCAGAGGGTCCAGATTCTTGCCCAAATAGCTTGCGCCACCATGGCTGCTTTTTAGCAAATTCTGCAAGGTCCAGTGCCTCAAATTTTCCTTCAAAGTTTCCTTGACTGGACGCCGCCATTTCGGCGAGCTCGTCTCGCGAGGTTCCTCGCACAGGCTCGCTCAGTAATAGTATTTTTTGCTAATTCTGCTCTACCTAGAGTTTGAGTCAGCCACTACGTAAAAGTGATGGGGGAATGTCAGGCCTCAGCTAACCCTATCAGGAGCCAATAGAACCACAACTTATCTGTTTAACTTTTAAGGATCAGCAGTCTTTTGTAAAGTCTACTTAACTGTCAGTCCACCAAGGTAGGCTTGATGTAAGAATAATGGATCTAATGTCTTTTTTCTGCAACCTGGACTGCAGTGGGAGTGCTTAAGACAACAGGGTATGGTTCAATCCAGTGAGGTCCTAGCATAGACGGATCTCGTTTCTTGATCCACACTAGGGAACCAGGTTCAGCTGCCAGAGGGGTGTCGGTTTCTTTGGGTTGTGGGTGATGATGGCAGAAGAGGGATTGAGTAGCCTGCAGTGTAAACTGTAGAGCCTGCAAAGACTTAATAAGTTCTTGATTAGTAATGATGTCAGGATTTTCTCCCCCAATTTAGAAATAAAAGGGGGAACTCTTCCATACATAGATTCAAAAGAGGTTATACCTTGTATATAGGGAGTACAATGGGCCCTGAGTAAGGCAAATGGAAGGAGACTCACCCAGTTTTTGCCAGATTTAATCCCTAATTTTGCAATAGTTTTTTTTAAAGTTTGGGTTTGTTTTTTTTTTAAATCTGTCTTGAACTTCAGGGTCTGTAAGCACAATGAAGTTTTTATTCTATTTTTAAGGATTGAGACAAATCTTTGGTTACTTGGGCTATGAAAGCCAGGACATTATCGGACCCCATAGTTAGGGGCAAGCCAAATCGGAGGATGATCTCTGTCAATAGTTTTTTTGCAACTACCAGAGCAGATTTAGTTCAAGTGGCAAATGCCTCAGACCATCCAGTAAAAGTATCTACCAGAATGAGGGGGTACATATTCTGTAGGGACTTAAAGTTCAACATATCAATACTTGATGAAAAATACCTGTTCCATATTATGCCTAAGATGTTTGATATGCAGACAGTGAGGTTAAGCTTAACAGCCTAAGTTGTATGGTAATAACAATAAGCTTGTCTTCTGGATGGTTAACAACCTAAGTTTGAAGACCAAAGTTAGAGAAAAAGGAGGGATGCAAGGAAAGTCAACATTTTGGCCCTAGCCTTTCAAAGTCAATTAAGACTCAGGACATACGAGAACTTGTACTGTAACGTCATGTAACTCAGTAGTGTCCCAAATTTTCTGACCAAGGAGATTATGGGGCCAAAGAGGAAAGTGATCGATGATGTAGAGTGTGCCTAAGGAGAGTCACTTGAAGAGAAAACATTCTCTCAGGCTTTCACAAAGAGCACATTGGCCAAGCATTGGCCGTGACTCATCCACATGGCTGACACTGACAAAGGTTCTACAATCTGAGGTACAGGATCTCAGGATAAATCCTGAGGGGATTTCACTGACCTTATCAGACCCAAAAGCTACAACTCTTGTTGCATAGGTCCTGCTTTACCTTGGTCTTAACCATCCAGCAGAAAAGTATAAAAATGAAATATAAGAAGTAAAGCCATGCTGTTATGTTGAGCTGTAGTGGACTCAGGTCAACAATTTCTGACATTGCCAGTCAAATGGAAGACCCAATACTATTATGGGCTACTGGACTCTTTTAGAATATTTAGCTGAGTTAACATACCTATAATATTCAAATAACGGAACTTAACAAAAAAAGGGGATACAGATGAATGTCCATTTTGTATCTGTGTATTCAAAGTGGTTAGGATAGATATATAGTTACATTCTCTTAATGAATAGAGTGATTTGTTCTAATGGTGTTTGTAAATAGGGTATCATGTCCACATCTTGTACAGCAGTTAACCACTAGGAAGACTGTATGCAGTGTATTAATTATTGAAACTGTCCTACCAATTTGATTTGAAACTGTCTCATTGCTATTTGTGTATCAATAAAATTATGGGGGAAAAAGAGAAAAAAAATAATGAGGAGATAGCAGTATCCACCTTTTCCTGGACCCATTTCTGTAAATCAATTTTCCAGTGCTCCCCAGGTGACATACCTTGGCCTTATTGTCCTTGCTCAGGAGTAACCCTTCTTGGATTTATGTGAGCACACTGAAGGCAGCGTCAGCTCACCTCCTTTGTTAGATGATTTAATTTGGGTATGAAGTAGGATCTCCTCAGCAGCTCAGCCAGTTTATTTTCTCCCAGATGGGTTCCCTGATGGATCTGTTGAACAAGCTGTCAACCAAGTGCCTCAGGGAGGAGGACATGTCCATCTGGCAGTTTGTGCCAATTGTTATGTAGCAAGGTTGTCTTTAAACTTCTGGCTGAGTTATATCAGAGTTATATCAGAGTCTGAATAGCAAAGTTTATCAAGTACTCTTGGAGGTAATATGGGGAGTTGGGCAGGTGGTGGCCCCACTGGTTTTAAGGCCACCTCCCTAGCAGTCATGTCAGCTAAGGCATTTTCTTTGGCTAATGGAGAGTTATCTTTTTGGCATCCTTTACAATGTATCACTGCCACCTTTTCTGGTAACCAAACAGCTCCCAATAAGTCCAATATTTTTTGTAAATTTTTGATCCTGTGTCTACCCATGGTTAATAGGCCACGTTCTTGATAAATGGCACAGTGTACATGCAGAGTGGAAAAAGCATACCTACTGTCTGTGTAGATATTGCTTTTTTGTCTTGTCCCCATCAAAGAGCTTGAGTCAATGCAATTAACTTTGCTCATTGTGCTGATGTTCCTTGTGGCAAAGGTTGGGTCCATATCACCTAGTCATTAGTGACCACTGCTGCTCCAGCATACCATACGCTGTCTTGAATAAAGTTGTTCCCATCCGTGTAGAGGTGTGGCATCTGAGTTGTCCAAGGGGACATTGGTGAGCTCTTTTCACAGACTCGAAGTGATATTGAGCATCTCAGTGCAATCATGGACTGGCAGCTCTGGGTCATCATCAGGCAAAAGGGTAGCTGGATTCAGGGCTATAGTAGACAAGAACTTAACACTGGCTGGGTCCAACAGTTGGGCCTGATATTGGACTATGTGGGCATTTGAGAGCTATCTATCAGGAGGACTTTTGAGGAGGCTTTTCTACCGCATGAGGGGCCACTATTTGGAGCTTTTGTCTGAAAGTGAGCTTAGTGGCCTCCTTGGCCAGTGTGGCAGTGGCCACTATAGCTTGCAAATAACTTGGCCATCCAGCTGCGGTGAGATCTAGTCTTTTAGACACATATGCTATAGGCCTCTTTCAAGGTCCCAAACATTGGGTAAAGACCCCCTTGGCAATGCCCCTGTTTTCATAGACATAAAGCTGGAATAGCTTAGTCAGATCTGGTAGTGCCAGTGCAGGGGCTGAGACAAGGGCCTGTTTTAAAGTCTCAAATGCCTCTTGTGTTTTATCAGTCCAGCATAATTTTCTCTTTTGTTCCCCCTACCCCAGTACTAGCATATAAATGTTGAGCCATCTCAGCAAAACCTAAAATCTATAAGCGACAATATCCAAGAAGTCCCAGAAATTTTTTAACTTGGTGCTTAGTGGTGGGAACAGGGATCTTGAGGATTGCTTTAATCCTCTTAGGGGATAGAGTATGTTGCCCTTTATGTAAATTGTAGCCTCTGTAGCCCATTTTGTCTAATTCTTTTAGTAAGTCTTTTGTGGCCTCTTTGCATGACTCAAGAGTCTGTGTGGCCAGCAATATACCATCTACATATTGTAATACAGTCACTTGGGGATGTTTCCCCCTATAATTGAGTAAGTCTCTGCTTAAGGCCTCATCAAAGAGCATGGGAGAGTTTTTGTAGCCTTGAGGTAACCTGGTCTAGGTCAACTGTCTAGTTTTTCCTGACTGAGGATCTACCCATTTAAAGGCAAAAATAGGCTGACTTACCAGAGCCAATGGAAGTGTAAAGAAAGCATCCTTTAAGTCTAACACATTATAGAAAGTCTGGTTTGATGGTAACAAACTCAGGAGACTGTAGGGATTGAGTACTGTGGGGTGGATAATTTCCACTCGACAATTTACTTGTCATAGATCTTGGACTGGTCTATAGTCCAACATTTTTGGTTTTTGGACTGGCAACAGGGGCGTGTTTTAAGCTGATTTTCAGGTCACAAGAATACCTTCCTTCTTTAGCCACTATATGTGGACAATGATTCCTAGTTGGGCCTATAGACTCAAAGGACATTGGTGGACCTGAGCAGAGGACACTCCAGGCAGCAGAGAGACTACATTGGAGGGGGTGCTGATGGATGGCTAACCCCGGTGGGTTATGTTCAGCCCATACCTCAGAAATCTCAGAAATCTATTTGGAGAGTAAATCTAATGGACCCTCTTGGGGCTCCTCTTTGACCAGCAACAAATATTCCTCGGTCAAGAGACAAGTATACAAAATGGTCTGTGGCAAAGGGCAGTCTTTTCCAAATGAGACATGTATGTTGTTTTGTCCAAAGGATATTTGAGCTTGTAACTTGTGGAGCAAGTCACGACCAATGAGGGGATATGGACATTCAGACATAACCAGGAATGAGTGGGTCATCTATTTGGACCCCAAGTTTCCCACTCAGGCCTTAGTCCATGGATACATCTTAGTTTTTTCCTGTAGCCCCTTGAATTTGGGTCCTGTGGTCAGACAGGGGCCCAATGGGCTCCTGTAAAACTGAGTAAATGGCTCCAGTATCAACTAAAAACTGGACAGGTTGGTCTCTTATCTTTAAGGTGACCATGGGCTCCTGGGGGCCTGAATGTCAGTCCTGGCCCCATCAATCTGTTTCCTTTTGGGCTAGAACTGGGCCAAACTTTGTTTCTTAAGTTTGGGGCAATCCTCTTTCCAATGGCCTCTGCCTTGCAATATGTGCATTGGTTTTTACCTAGGAGCAATTTCTTTTTGCTCTCTTTCTTTTGGCCATCTTTTTTTATTGTCTTTCTGTCCCATCACAATCAAAACCTTTGCCATTTTCTTGTTTAACTCTCGAGGATCTTCTTGGTTGTTAAAAACCTTTTGAGCTATCT